TATATATATATATTATAATATAATATTATATATATGCAGCATACCTGCAGCTGAGACACAGGCAGCTCTCCGATCAAATGCTGTGTATCACAGATTGGGGTTGGGTTGCTACTTCTATTTGGGTTCCTCTAGAAACCCTATTCTAGATGATCTACTAAATTAGGTACTGGATCCTAGAACATCCCGAATCCTGGGAGGGGTTTAAGACATATACATTAAAATATAGTTCAGTGGGATGCAGGGATAATAGCTTGGCCCTTCAGAGCCACAGCAAAGGGAACCGAGCCGCTCGAAGACAAAGGTGATCTCATTCGACATGTAGCCTCGGGATTGCAGCAGGGCTCTTGGGTCTAAGATGCGAGGGTGTCGGGGGCTGGGAGGAATACTGTAGGGTACCTAGGCTACGAGCTGCGAGTGCTACTGTTCCCAATTATACGACTATGGCTTAATTAATATACTATGTAACTAGTACTACTTCTACGACTAGTACTACTACTACTACTACTACTACTACTACTACTACTACGGCTCTGGCTAGGAGTGCCGAATGATGGAACCCAGACTGTCCCACACATCCATCTAGAATTTGTCACGTGCGACCATCCAACTAGCCCAGGAGTTCGAATACAGATGTCGTGACCCCTATGCAGAAACCGCTATGGATCCCCGAGATTAGTTAACCTGCTGCCAGGAGTTGCCAAGTACAAGCCCTCGAAAGGAGTTGCCAGCTACGACCCCTCGGAAGGAGTTGCCAGCTACAAGCCCTCGGAAGGAGTTGCCTGCAGCTACAAGCCCTCGAAAGGAGTTGCCTGCAGCTACAAGCCCTCGCCCTCGAAAGGAGTTGCCTGCAGCTACAAGCCCTCGAAAGGAGTTGCCTGCGACCCCACAGAAGGAGTTGCCTGCTACAAGCCCTCAGAAGGAGTTGCCTGCTACGACTCCAAAGAGCTCCAAGAAAAGGCAGACCCCTAAGTCGGCATCCAAAGCCAGCCCTGACCATTGCACTGATGCTGAGAAGGACCGGGTCTTGGAATTCCGGGTTGGGACTTGTCTTAGCCCTTAACCCTAAACCTCAAATATATAAATATAATTATACACTTGTTAATATATTGATTGATCATACATGCCCGAGGAGCGAAGAGGCCATGTCGAGGATGCCCAGGGCAGCAATCCTGCAGACAAGGAGCGGGGATAGCCTATCTGCACGTGTTTGCCATGTGGATGCACGTGCACATGTACTCTGATGCTGATAGGGCACACCAGCTTCAAAGAAGCGACGAACCCCGAAGAAGCAAAGCGGCTACTGGGGGGATGAGGAGGTCGCTTGTCTCTCAGGCTTATCCTTAAATTGGGGAATATAATATATCGGGGCACAAGCACAATATAGAATCCGAGTATATCGTATTGCACATCAGCTCAGGCATGGTCACAGGATGCCCAGCCGGACTGGGATTGGAGTGGATGGGGGAGCTCTTGGTCTTGGGACGACAATGGATGGGCCTCCACGCGAACGTGGGGCAGCCAGGAATGGGATTCCTATGATCCCTGGTGGGCCTGGAAGGAGCCTAAGAAGGAGAAGGATCCAGAAGGAAGGGAGGCTGGGGAAATCCTTTCCTTGCTCAGGCGGGGGCACACGGTGGACCGGCTGAGCAACGAGGAGTTGATGACCGTGGTGGAGGCCATCGATGCTCAGCGCCGAGAAAAGGAGGAGAAGGAGGAGCAGGAGGAGGAGAAGGCGAAAGTTGCAAGCCCAGGGTCTGCAAGAAAGCGGAAGATCAAGACCCCAAGGAAGACGCCTCAAGATAAGAAGGCTAGGAACGAGGAGTCGAAGCAGACGCCAAAGGACGATGCGAAGCAGACGCCGAAGGATGATGCGAAGCAGACGCCCAAGGATGATGCGAAGCAGACGCCAAAGGATGATGCGAAGCAGACGCCAAAGGATGATGCGAAGCAGACGCCGGAGGATGATGCGAAGCAGGAGCCGGGCGAGGCTGTTGAGGCCGACAAGAAGGCGAAGGAAAAGGAGGCCAAGCGAAAGAAGCTGCACGCTCGCTATATGCGATTCCACCGGAGCCTGGTGAGCTGAAGCCTGAGATGAGTGTGCATGTGCAGTTGCCTGTCGTTGAATAATTACCCCGGACCCCGGAGCCTCTATCTATGATACACTTGTTTTGGGCTTGAGGTCCCAACACGCCACCAGAGATCTTGAAGTTGGCGGAGAAAGCAAAGCCCCACAGCCCGGAAAGGTCGTACCTCTTTGAGTCTTGGTTGACCAGCAGTGAATGCTGGAAATCCTCGAAGCTGCTGATTTCCCTGAAGCAGAAGAACTCCAAGAAAAGCCGTGGCCTTCGAAAGTGGATGACGTTTAAAGAGATGTGCGAGCGCTTTGGGGAAAGTGTCGCGACAGACATCCGGGATGCAAAGCTGGAGGATGCAGAGCTTCGCAAGAAGGAAGTTCGTGACCACCCGGAGTGCAAGCACCGGAAGGCCAGGACTCAATACACTATTTGAAACATGATTCGCCTGCATCCTGATCCTCTAAATATATAGTCTCGCCCCACCCCACCCTGGTACGTAGCTATGCTCTGCAGGACATGCAGCAGTTTCTCTGCCTGGCTGAAGATGTGGAGGAAAACGAAGATCTCGAAGAAGTGGAAAAGCTGTTCCAGGCCGAAGAGGGAAGCAGCGACTCGTCGGATGATTCGACGGAGGATGATGAGGCGGAGACTTCGTCTTCGAAGAAGGCGAAGACAAACAAGAAGAAGAAAAAGAAAGCAAAGAAGGCCAAGACCAAAAAAGCCAGTGTCAAAGCTAAGCCGAAAAAGAAAGCTGTGCCTAAAGGGCAGACCGCCGGCAAGGACAGCATGACATCTAAACCCTTAACCCTAAACCCTAAACCCTGGTATATAATAATATACATACTCTACACACCACCCCTCCAGGATGCCTCCGCAGACGCCGAAGCGATCATGAAGGATGCAAAGAAGGCAAGAGCCTGGGTTTGAAGAATTTGTGATTTCCGGGTTGCTAGCTAGTCGCGATTGTTGTAGAGGGGGGGTCGGTATTGAAGCCAGTGGGCTCTAGTGCTTGCAGGGGATTTCGTGGTCGTGCCGGGATCATTGTGTGGATGATAGTGAATTTAGGGCTTTGGGTTTGGGGGTTTTGGAGTGATTATATAAAATTGACCGAGACTTGATTGAGGCTTCATTAGGCTCTTGGGTTTGGGGGGGTTTAGGAGTGATGATAAAGTTGACCGAGGCTGTAGGCTTTCTTAGGGTTCTGGGTTTGGGGGGTTTAGG